AATATGATTCAGATGAGAAAAAACACTGAAAAACCACTAAAGACAAGCACTTCAACTTTATCATGAAAATCCCCATAGTCCATTGCTAATGTTTTCAGTGGTTGCTATGTTATCCTGCAAATGTGTTACTGAGCAACAACTCAGAAGCTAGGACAGCAAGCTTACTAAAAAACAAATGATTCAAACCAAGATTTATAAAAATACTGAGACTCTATTTTTTATAGCTTTAAATGAAGCAATTTTGTCATAAGCATCAGATACACAATTTACAGCAAGACTATAAAAATTATCTAGAATTTATTTAAAGACATATTTTCATAGTGATAGGCACTTTCCAAAAGGAAATGGATAGGTTTAGGTTCTCCCCAACTCTATGAATTTTAATGCAAAAGAAATTTGAAGTTATGAGGCACCTGGGTGGCTTGGTGGTTGAGCATCTGTCTTTGGCTCAGGTTGTGATCCTGGGGTACTGGAATCAAGTCCTACACCAGGCTTCCTCCAGGGAGCCTGCTTCTCCCTCTGCCTGTCTCTGCCTCTCTCTCTGTGTATCTCTCATGAATAAATAAATAATATCTTAAAAAAAAGAAAAAGAAAAATTTGAAGTTATACGGAAACTAACTGGGCACTTCTTGCTTAATTTCTTTACTACTGGATTACATCCCAGTTAAACTTAAAAAAGAAAAAAAAAAAGCTAGACTAGTTTGACTACACAGTCTGTGATCTCTCCGTGACACACAGAGGCAGCCCCAATGGAAAAATAAAACTCAAGACAACTGCTACTTTATTAGGGCCAAATCAAAGTCCTGACATAATTCATAAATAAGTCTTGACCAGAAAAAAAGTAAAATGGAAAGGGGTAAGTAAAATAGGAAGATAGGGAGAGAAAAACTAGACAAGGGAGGTAGAGGAGAGAGTTGGAGGAAGTTTCTTTAAAATTAAGATTCTACTAAGGAAGAACCAGGAAACTGATCAAACTCCCCAAGCCCACTTGAGAGTAGTACCAGAAAAAAAGTAAAATGGAAAGGGGTAAGTAAAATGGGAAGATAGGGAGAGAAAAACTAGACAAGGGAGGTAGAGGAGAGAGTTGGAGGAAGTTTCTTTAAAATTAAGATTCTACTAAGGAAGAAGCAGGAAACTGATCAAACTCCCCAAGCCCACTTGAGAGTAGTGCCAGCATTCCTGAGGGAGTCCTTACTGCTAATATTGTCACGGGAAATTCTCAAATATCACACTTTCTAGGAATACAATCCTTCCTTCCAATTCCAATGAATTCCCACTCTTTAATCCCCTTCCTTATGGTTTACAGTTGCTCTTCCCCTCTGTTACTCTCTCAAAAGATTTTCGTTTACTTCTACTACACTATGGAAGGGGAGGAAAGGGCAAATGCACATTCCTCATCTCTAAGAAACATTTATTCAGCAACTTCCATTTGGAAGATACTAAGGATACAGCTCATTGAGATCTGGTGTTCTGACCCTAAGGAGCTTACAATCTACTTAGGAAGGTGAAGCATATACACAAAAATGATAAAATGCAATATGAAGCGTAAGTATCAGATGAGTATGACGAATAAAAACATTCTATAGGATTTCAGAGATGAAGAAGTTCAGAACATACTACCCTAAAATAGCCATTTTGGTGTACTGATTGAGTTAAAGACACTTGAGAAACAACAGGTGCAAAAGGGGCATTCTGTTCTTCCTTGTTCCTCCTGAAAAACAGAAGATAAAAATCCCAGAAGAAAAAAAAAAAAAAAAAAACCTGTACCAGGAATAAAGAAAACATTCTTATCACCAGAGATCGGGAATCAAAGCTGAGAAATCTGTACAAACAAGTCTTATTAAACTAACCTTTATCTTCCTAGTCACTTCTCCACAATTTACTACTCAGCAGAAATCTCTTTGTCTTTTTCACAAATTTATTGTTTCTTTATCTAAAAGGTATAAAAGGGGATCCCTGGGTGGTGCAGCGGTTTGGCGCCTGCCTTTGGCCCAGAGCGTGATCCTGGAGACCCGGGATCGAATCCCACGTCGGGCTCCCGGTGCATGGTGCCTGCTTCTCCCTCAGCCTGTGTCTCTGCCTCTCTCTCTCTGTGTGTGACTATCATAAATAAATAAAACTTAAAAAATAAATAAACAAACAAACAAAACAAATAAATAAATAAATAAATAAATAAAAGGTATAAAAGCTTTCTGCTCTCATCACTTCATTCTCATTCAGGAGTCTTCATTCTCCTGTGAAGGCCCCCAAGCACATGTAAAAAAAAAAAATTTTTTTAATTGTGTGCTTTTCTCTGTCAATGTGTCCTATGTCATTTAATTCGTAGGCCAGCTAGACACTCAGAGAGTAGAGAACTCTTCCTCCCTTACAGAGATTATGGTGGAGTTAAACTTTATGGAAAAGGTACAATTCGGATTTTAGGAAAGAAGGGAAAAATCAGGTAGGGAGAATGACAGACATAAAGACTTAGAAGAAAGGGTGACAGCATGAATAGGTTTAGAGGATAGTGAGGAAATCAGCCTGGACACAGTATAGTTTTCCTACGAAGAACATGAACAGGTAAAGGCAGAGAGGAGATTTTGAAGAGCTCTGATTAAGAAATGTGAACTCTAGTCCGAAGGGAAGAGTACCTCAGGAAACTTTTTACAGATACATGCACACATTCTCTAAAAGTACACAAAGATTAGACAATTTGAAAAAATCACTGAACGTAATATATTATGGATGACAAAGTTAAAATAAAACTCATTTACTTTAGGCAGAGGCAGTACCTAGAGAAAATGCGTGCGCGTGCGCGCGCGCGCGCGCACACACACACGCACACACACACACACACAAGGATTCTGACAATTAACTAATCTTTCTGTTAGGATGTCCTTCATTTCGGGCACCTGGGTGGCTCAGTGGTTGAGCGTCTGTCTGCCTTTGGCTCAGGTCATGATCCCGGGGTCCTGGAATCAAATCCCGCATCAGGCTCCCCACAGGGAGCTTGCTTCTCCCTCTGCCTGCGTCTCTGCTTCTGTGTGTCTCTCATGAGTAAATAAATAAAATCTTAATAAATAAATCTTAAAAAAAAAAAAAAGAATTCATTTCATTCATTCTTCTAAGCTTCTTGAATTAGAACTTTCCATGACAAAATGCTGACTTTGGATTACTAAGAATTTATCACACAACATGAGCCATTCTTGATTTTTCTTCTCTTCTTGTCTCGTCCAACTCTTGAATATTTCATTACTTCAATATTAGCATGTGGAAAAGAAAAAGGGGGAGGGGACTAAAATGAAGTCAATGGATTTTTGTAGTTAGACATGATGTAAAGAACATTAATTAAACTTCAAGTTCCAATTCTCATTACCAATAGCTTGATTTCAAAGAAGTCTTTCAGTCTCATAGTGTCTCAAATGTTCTCACCTCTTTTCTTACATACTTACTTAACATGTTATAACACTCAAAAAAAATCATGAAATTATGCTCTGAAAACTACATGCCATATAGTCATACAAATTATATCATTAAGGGTTCAATGGGTGGAGAAAAGAGTGAGGTTATTGGCTCCACCAGGGCTTTAAAAACCACTTGCAGATAAAATGTTTCAACCTCCCAATGTGCTATGTAATCCTAAATTAGTATTATTCTATTATCAGAAAAATTCCTGAATATAACCTGCACACTTCATCTGGTTAGAAAATATTCAAAAAAAAAAAAGAACACCGGACAAGCACTGTCCCAAGTAACCAAAGGGTAACTCAAATCCATTTGCAACTCTCTGGAGACTCCTGTATGACACTGAAATTCAAAACATTCTAGTAATTCCACACGAAATGAATTTGAAATCAAACTGCAGTACAGAAGGTGTGTATTAACTGTAACCACCTACAGGCTAAACCCAAGAATTTACAGAATTCTGAATCCAGATAATTGTAGGATAGATACGTTTAATTACATTCTAGTTGAATATTCGACTTGTTTACGGAGATGTTGCTTGGTAACAGAAGCACTGCTTTAACAACCTGCTTGGTTTTAGACCTACTCAAGCATTTTGTGCTCCTAGCTTAAACCCTTTCAACTATAACATATATAAGAAATCATGAACAAGTTTCTTGCCGTCCTAGACACCTCTGAGATTTTACTGAAACAGCTTCATAATCACAACTAATATAACTGTAACTGAAGACTCTAAAAATACTTGGCATTTTTAAGAGCTAAGGGCCCATTCATTGTGGTCAAAAGCTAGTCAGTAAGGATTCATTAAAATATGTCCATTTAAACCAGGCATTCAGAGATCCCTGGGTGGCTCAGCGGTTTAGCGCCTCCTTTGGTCCAGGGCGCGATCCTGGAGTCCCGGGATCAAGTCCCGCATCGGGCTCCCAGCATGGAGCCTGCTTCTCCCTCTGCCTGTGACACACTCTGCCTCTCTCTCTCTCTCTCTCTCTCTCTCTCTCTCTCTCTATCATAAATAAATAAATAATTCTTTTTAAAAAATAAAATAAATAAACCAGGCATTCATTTACACAGTCTAGACGTTATCTCTGAGATGACTGCCAATGTCTCCGGGGTTATGGAAAACGGTAGCACAGTTTTCCATCACAGATTAAACTGGTGGTACCACCACGCGTTCAACCAGTTAGTAAAGTGTCTGCACGAGCATCACGCCGGGGTCCATCCCAAAGCTCCCTAAAGGGGCGCCTGGCTGGCTCAGGAGGAGCACGCACTCTCGATGTCCTCTTCATCTGCGGGTGGGGAGTTCCAGCCCCACACTGGGGGGTAGAGACAACTTACATACACATAAACTTCAAAAAAAAATTTTTTTAAACCTCCATAAAGAGTTTCACGTGCACTTAATTGGCCACAGAAGAGGTTTCACGACCTACGTCTCTAACTCTCCCTCCAATTCCGCTCCAGGAAAAGTAACAACAAAACAATTCAAGGGCAAGAGGTGAAGACGGAGCTTTACCAAAACTACAGACAAGCCCGCGCCCGCCTCCAAGGGGGTCACGTACCAGACTCACACGCGTGACGCTTCAGGGCGCCCGGGGCCGGGCCGGGGCCGCGCCTGCCGCCGCGGAACACCTGCGCCGCTCCGGCCGCGGGCACTGGGGGGAGGGACGCGGCGCCCCCGCGGGGTGCGGGCCCGGCCGGCGGCCGCTGCGGCGCGGGCCGAAGAGGAGGGCCGAGCGCGCCCCGGGGCCCGCGACTCCAGGGAAATCGGAGGTATCCCGGGAAGCTCCGAGGGCGGAAAGGGCGGCGGCGGAGCGCAGCTTCGCGCCGCCTCGGCGGACGGGCCTTCTCGGGGCAGCGAGGCAGCCCAGGAGCCGCCGACAGGCCCGCCCGCCCGCCGCCCCTCCAGCCCAGGGAGCGCACCGGGTCCCGAGTCCTAAGAGCGCGCCAGGCAGGAAGTCCCGCCCCCACGCCGACGTCACCGACGCCGCGGACGCCGGCCGCGACCAGCGAGCGTTAGAGGGAGGAGGCGAGCGGAGCCGCGGCGGGAGCGGCGGGGGCGCCACGGCGGAGCGCTTGCGGCGCGCAGACTCCCCCGAGCCCGAGGGAGCCCGGCGCTGGCTTCAGCGAGCAGAGTGACGGGCGCGGGGGAGCGGGCGGCCGGTCCCGCTTGCCCCCGGGCAGCGCTGCGTTTCTAGGGCACCCCCCTTCGCACTCTTGCCCCTCGAGCGCTCCGGCGAGGCCCTGCCGCCGCCGCCGCCGCCGTCCCGCCTTCGTCCGCGATCGCGCACGTTTAAGGGTCGCGAGGCGCCTGCTGCCCCGTCAGCCTGGCGCCTCCGCCCCGCGGCGCGGTCGGCTCAGCTGGCCTGGCGGACGTGGCCCGCCCGAGACGGCTCACCTGGTTGCCTGAAGCCAGGGCCCGCTCGGGGGACTTTGCGAGCTGGTGGTCCTGAGGGCGTTAGGCAGAGCTGGAAGAGAAGGTAGCAGTTTCTTGAGAGCCTCCCTTAGCATGCACGCCACGGGCTGAAATGAGGTCCGGGGTCGGGTCTGCAGCCGCCGAGGATGCGTCGTAAAAGACAAGCGCGCGCTCTTTGCCGCCTTTGTTCCAGGGTCCTGGTTCGGGGTTTGGGTTCTCCCTGCTTTGTGAAGCACAGCTTAGTTCTCACCCGGGCGCTAGTTACGATTAGAAAGGCAACTGGGTTGGGACCTCTTTTGTTGAAAGGAGGAAGGAGAAGCCGTTTCGATGGGGCTGTAAGTTGGGTCATGTGGAGTGTCAACGCATGGATGACAAAGACGCGGGGAGGCAGGATCAGTGAATGGAAGGTAGGATCCAGAGCCCAGCTGCTGTGCCAAGTAGCTCGCATTTGCTGAGCGCTCGGGTATCAAGTACCAGAGCCCTTTTTCATGTCATGGTATTTAACCCTAAAGCAGGGTTATTATTATTTTCTCGACTTCACCACTTTACCCAGAGCCGTTCCTGGTAAGTATTGAAGGCAGGAAGTCTGGACTCCAGAAGTCTTGGTGGTAATCAGTAAACTGTATGCTACAAATCACTGCCAAGTGAGAAAAAAAGGTTATCTCTGGGCAGCCCAGGTGGCTCAGCGGTTTAGCACCTGTCTTCGGCCCGGGGAGTGATCCTGGAGACCCGGGATCGAGCCCCGCGTTGGGCTCCCTGAATGGAGCCTGCTTCTCCCCTCTGCCTGTGTCTCTGCCTCTCTCTGTTTCTCATGAGTAAATAAAATCTTTAAAAAAAAAAAAAAAAAAAAAGGTTAGCTGAGAAATAACCAACGGAGACAGGCTTTTTAGCTCCTTTCTCAAATAAATAACAGATGAATCAAAAACGTAAATGTAAAGAATGAAGCCATAAAAATACTACAAGAAAATCAAGGTGAATATCTTTATTTATTTTTATTTATTCATAGAGACTGAGACAGAGAGAGAGAGAGAGGCAGAGGCACAGGCAGAGGGAGAAGCAGGCTCCATATAGAGAGCCCAACGTGGGACTCGATCCAGGGTCCCCCAGGATCACGCCCGGGTTGTAGGCGGCGCTAAACCGCTGCGCCACCGGGGCTGCCCAAGGTGAGTATCTTTATAATCTTGAGCTGAGAAAGGCCTTTGCTAAGCATGAAATGAGACTCAGAAGCCGTAATGGACAAAAAACTGATAAAAATTAACCTCATGAAAATTGTAATCTTATACAAATTGTAATCTGCACACAAATAATGAACCAATGGAAGATACATTTGTATCATGTGGAAAGAGAAGGAAAAATATTCCTGCTATACAAAGAGCTCATAGAATGTCAATTTTAAGGGGCGCCTGGATTGCTCAGTTAAGCATCCAACTTAGACTATTTTGGCTCATAATGATTTTAGGATTGTGAAGCCCACCCCTGCATCCTGCTCTGTGCTCAGTGCAGTCTGGTAAGACTTTCCCCCCTTTTCCTCTGCCCCTCTCCCCTATACTAGTGGGTGTGTGTGCATGCTATGTGCTCTCTTCTCTCTCAAATCAATCTTCAATTTTTTTAAAGTATCAATTTTTAAAAACAAATTATCAAAGGAAATCAATAGGACATTTTTAAACTAAGAAAAACAAACATCTAATTAAATGAAAAGATGCTCAGCATTCCAAAAATCCTTTTTGTCCATCAGGGTACATAGAGATACATGGTTACAATTGCTATTGTGCACTATTGATGGTAAAGTTGAAATTGGGACAATCTTACTTACCAAAATTTCATTAGTCTTTGCCCCAAAATCTCATTTCCCAGTCCATTCATTCTAAGGAAAAAAGCAAAGTAAACGTTCACATGGATATTTCTCACTCCCTTTTTGTAATTGGTGTTTTTAGAAACAAAAAAAAGTGCCATCACTAGGATGCTATTTAAATTACAGTGCATGTGGACATGGAATACCTTTAAGCCATCAGAAACAATGATGAAAATATTCACATGAAATACATTAATAGCATATAGGTCCCCCCCATAAAAGAATATAAATTAGCAGGAGCAGTGTCATCTTGGCACAAATATATATGTGGATATAAATGTACAAAAGGATCTAGAAAGATGTTGCCCAAAATGCAAATGGTTTTTATTTTGTCTCTTGGACTTTTTTATCATTTGAATTTTTTTATTTTTTATTTTTTTTATTTATTGGAGTTCAATTTGCCAACATTAGCATAACACCCAGTGCTCATCCTGCCAAGTGCCCCCTTCAGTGCCCATCACCCAGTCATCCCAACCCCCCACCCACTTCCCCTTCCACTACCCCTTGTTCATTTCCCAGAGTTAGGTGTCTCTCATGTTTTGTCACCCTCACTGATACTTCCACTTGTTTTCTCTCCTTTCCCTTTATTCCCTTTCACTAATTTTTATATTCCCCAATCATTTGAATTTTTAAAACAAAGTACATATCATTTTTACCAAAACTTGTTTTATTTTTAATTAAAGACATGTCAGTGAAACGGCAGCCAGTTGACTGTAGATGCCCATAGGTAGAGGACCAATGTGAAATAATTATATCTGAGATCTAAATTCTCAGCTTTTTAAGTGTCCATAAATTTGATTATATTAATTTACCTCAAGTTAGCCAAATGTAACTCATCACTTGGACATCATGATTCTGACTTCTTAAATTGGACAGTGTATCTTTCCTGTTTGCTGTTTATCTCTCATGGTATTTGTCACACTGAATTAGAATTCCCTCTTTCTGTCACTAGACTATGCTCCTACAATATATCCTTTTCTTCCATATGTTATATATTTATTTTGCCCTGATTCATTGTCATCTACTTTATTTTTATATGCAGAAATTTTAATTTTAATGCAGTGAAAATAATGAATTATACAGATATTACAGGGATAGTTCAACAATTTTATGCCAATAATTTGACAACTCAAATGAAATGGACAAATTCCTGAAAAGAATACAAAAAAAGACACAAGAAGAAAAAGAAAAGCTAAATTGGATGAGTATCTATTAAAGAAACGGAATTTCTAATAAACTTTCCCACAAAGAAAATTCAAGGGCCAGATGGGTTCACCAGTAAATTTTGTCAGACTTTTAAAGAAGATAAAATACTGACCCTAAATATTTCAGAGAATAGAGCAAGAATGAATACTTCAAAACTCATTTTATGACACCAATATAATCCTGATATCAAAACTTGACCGGGACATTTTACAAGAAAATTACAAACCTCATGAATATAGACTTTAAAACTTTTAATGAAATATTGGCAAATTGAACCTTGCAATATAAAGGGTAAAATCCCAAGGAAGATGCGGTTTAACATTGAAAAGTCAGTGTAATTCACCACATTAACAGAATGGAAAAGAAAAATAAAATATTGATCTCCGTAAATGCAGAAAAATCTGACAATTCAAACCCATTCATGTTAAAATACTTAAGGCAAGTTAAGTATAGAAGGGAGCTTCCTCAGTGTAACAACAATCATCTTTAAAAAAAATGTAATGATGAAATATTAAATTTTTTTCTCCTAACATTAGGAGAACATAATGTTTGCTCTCACCACTTCTATTCAGGGTTATGTTGAAGGTCCCAATTAGTGTAATAATAAGAAAATGCAAAAAGATCAGAAAAACTTGGACTTCCTGATTTCAAAACTTACAACAAAACTACAGTAATTAACACAGATGTACTCCCAAAAACATGTATCAGTGAGATGTAATTCAGAGTCCAGAAATAATACTTTTATATTTATGGTCTATTGACTTTTGACAAAGGTACCAAGATAATTTAATAGGGGAAAGAATAGTCTTTTCAAAAAGTGATGATGTTGGGAAAACATGGAGAAGAATGAACTTGAATCCCTGTACCTTAAAAAAAAAAAAAAAAAGAATCCCTATACCTATACAAATGTTATGATACATCAAAGACCTAAATGTAAGAGCTAAAAACACAGAAGAAAACATAGCCATAAATCTTCATGGCATGGCAATGCCTCACCAAAATTTAAAAATTTTGTGCTTCAAAGAACACTATCAAGAAAGTGAAAAGACTGCATTTCCTGGTGCTCCTCTCAGGCCAAAACTTGGCCCCCAACCTTCCTCATTTCAGATGAAGTGAGTGCACTACATATGGAAGAAGAGAAAATTCCATAAGTTAGCTGATGCCAAGGCGTTTCTGAGTAACTGGTACGTGACAGCTGTGTGACTGTGGAGAAAGGGATCTAGGTTTCCCAGCAGAACACCAAGGACTACTTTTGAGTTCTGAACCTTAAGAACTCTGATACCTCACCGCACAAGGTTCTGGTAGTGTTGGTGTGTCCACAGTCTGCTTTATTTTGCTGCTAAATTCCGCCTCAGTGTGACTGATGCTTCCAGAAGACTGTGGCTTCCTCAAAAGTCTTGGGGGTGTGCACTGTCTTTGATACAGCAATAAGTGTAGATT